TGCTGACTTTTTTCCAAATAAAATATTGGGATGAAACGCTGCCGCTGGATATATCGAGCACAGTTGATCACAACACAAACGCTCCTGCGATCCCCGCCAAAATGGCAAGAAATGGTAAGCTCAGATCCGCATGGCTACATTGCAACCGAACCGCCTGACCACCATCTCGACCGAACTGGCGGAATTCGACCACGCGTCCGACAAAATACGTTCGACGAGGGATGCGCTGCACAATGCCCCGGCCACGGGCAGCGCTACGAGGGAAAGCGGGCCCTTCGATGTGTCACTTTCAGCGCGCGTGAAAGTGACACCTCCCAGGGCCCACTTAAAGAGCACCAGAAAGGCTCCAAGAAGGCCCCGAGAAGGCCCCAGGGCGGCACCAAGAGGGCTCCCAGAGGGACCCAAGAGAGGCCCCAAGAAGGGCCCAAGAGGGCCCTCCGCGGTGTCACTTTCAACGCCCGTGAAAATGACACCTCCCAGGGCCCACTTAGGGCCTCAGAAAAGCTCTAAGAAGGCCCCGAAAGGGCCATAGAGAGCCGCCCTGGGTTCAACTCCGCGTGGCGGAGTTGGAAGCGATAACTTCAATACCCTACTGGAGGCCTCTTAGGGGCCCTAAGACGGCACTGAAGAACCCCATCGGGGCTTTTTCAAAGGCAGAGGAGGGCGCAAAAAGGGGCCTCAGTGAGCCCCTGGTCTAACTCCACCTGGCGGAATTGGAAGCGATATCGCCCGGCGCCTTCATGGAGCCGCTCGGAGCTTCCAAGACGGCTCCAGAAGGCCCCAGGAGGGCCCCAAGAGGATCGAACGACGATTCCTGGAAGTGCACCAGTGAGACCCTTGTTGACCTCCGCCTGGCGGAGTTGGAAGCGACAATTTCCAGTGCCCTCTTGGGGCCTCTGGGGGGCCCCTCAGAAAGCTTTGGGGAGCACAGTGAAGGCCTTCGCAGGGCCGCGTGAGAGCCGTACCAGGGCCGCATGTGTGCGCGGATGGGGGCGACGAGTGCTGACGCTGACGAATATGAGAATGATGAGGGCGATCAAGGCTGGCCCGAAACAAATCCTGGCGCCATTGCAGGCCGCCGATTATCGGCCACGCCGCCAGGACGACGCCAAGCAACAAAACGACACCAACCAACAAACCGACACCAACCAACAAACCAACAAATCGACACCGGCCAACAAAAGGACACCAAGCAACAAAACGACACCAAGCAACAAAACGACACCAACCAACGAAACGACACCAACCAACAAAACGGCACGAATCAACAAAACGGCACTGACCAACCAAACGACAAATCACTTCACGACACCAATGAACAACGCGAAATCCACCGACCGCCAACCAAGCATAAAATCAACCGACACAACGAAACCAACCCATAGAGCCAGACCAACCACTGGATTCGTGAGTCGGGGTAGTCATGGAAGTGAGCCGCTGCAGCCCGCGGAAGCCATTAACAGTGACCAGAGCACCGCAATGCAGCAACGTCCCCGGGCGGCGGCGGGAGTCTTGGATCTCCCGCGGGACTGGAGCGTAGCGAGTTCGTCCTGGGTCCGGTTTAGTGAAGTGAAGAATTTCGGGGTGCTTGCATGGCAAAAACCTTCACTTCACTAATCTGGGGCCCCTGGAGCCCCAGGGCGTTTCAGGTCCCCTCGCTGTCTGGGTAGTCCAGGGGGCGCAGTGGCGGCTTACCAGAGGCCCTGTTCCCTAGCCTCACTTGCTTTCACCCGTGGTGCTCGACGGCCGTCTCGGAGCTGTCTTGTGGCGGTCTGGGGCAATCCCGAAGCCTCTTGGAGCCATCCCAAGGCCCCAAGGCGCCACCAATGGGGGCCCCAAGAGAACTCCCAGAGGGCCCCGAAAGGCCTACAACAGATTGCACGTTCGCGCGAATTCTTTGTACCACTTTGGGGGGTCCCTCTTGGGGCCCTCGGGGAACGTTCTTGGGGCCCTCCGAGGGCCCACTGGGTCCCCGGGAAGGCCCCAAGAACGCTCCCAGAGGGCCCCAAGAATGCTCCAAGAGGGCCCCAAGAGGACCCCCACAAGTGACAAAAACTATTTGCATGAGGGTGCAACTTAATCGGCGCCTCTTGGGGCGCTCTTGGAGCCGTGCTGGGCGCTACTCGTGGACGACATGGGCTGGGCGACGGCATGTGGACCCTGTCGCTTGGGCCATCGGGGGGGCTCCCCAATGGGGCCACGAAGCTTGTGAGCGTATGACGGAATGGGCTGGGCGGCGGCCTGTGGGCCCTGCCTGTGGGGCCGTCGGTGTAGCTCCCCGTGGGGCCACGAAGCGTGTGAAATGTATGCCGAAATATGCTGGGCGGCGGCCTGGGAAACCTGCCGCTGGGACCTTTTTTTGGTGGGGCTGCCTATAGGGGCACGAAATGTTTGAGGGCGTCATCAATGTAGCCTGGGCGACGGCATGTGGACCTTGCCGCCGGGACCTCCGATGAGCTCCTCATGGGGACACGAAACGTCTGAGGGGCGCGCCGACATGGGCTGGGCGGCGCACGAAGGACCCTGCCGATGGGGCCTTCGGTGGAGCACCTCACAAGGCCACGAGACTTGCGGGGGATGTGGCGAAGCAGAGACGCGGGGGAACAAAAGGGGTGTTTTGATAATGTTGATGAGGATGGTGGTGGTATTGATGATGGAGACGGCGAGAATGTTGATGCTGATGATGATGGTGATGGCGACGATGACGATGGACGATGACGACGGAGACACGCGGAGAGCAGGGGCAGATACGCGAAGAGGGAAGACGAGGGAGGGGGCCGGAAGGAATGACGCGGGGCGGTGTCTCTTCAAAACGAAGAACCAACACTGCAATATGGTAGGAAATTTCTGGACGACCCCCCCCGTGGCGCGGTCAATGTCCGCGACAGCATCGCTGGCACTACGAACGAAATGATCGAACTCTTCCTGCGACGTTACCCGCGGGGTGGATCAGCCAGGGATGGGGGTCGAAACCGCCCCAGCGCAAAGCAAATGTACAATCCTGAGAAACCCCAG